TCCCAGGCCACTAAATATAGATGTTTGAACAAAATAATTTTTAATGTATTTCCTACTTTTTTATGCCCTTTCAAATGAGATATCGATTGTAGAGATGTGCATTGTAGTTTATAAGATATAGCATATTTTAGAAAATCTACCTGAGCTAAGCTTCCGGTGCTCGAATCATGTTGTCTCTTCGGGTATATGCGTACCCCTAAAAACCATATTTGAGGTTTAAAAATATTTATTTTATACAAATTGGTTATCGAATAAATCAATTATAACTAACCTGAGTCCTACTGACAACTTTTTTCGAAATCTGATATTTAAAATTGCAAATGCTTTTCAATTAGTATTTTGTGGTAAAATGTTGTTTTACATACAAAGTATACATGTTTTATGTTTGCCATGTGTTCATAAATTGATTAGTGTTTGGGTTTATTTAGTACTTAACAAGTGATAACCAGTGGACACACAGATTCAGTTGCCTTAAGACAGACACCAATTGACTGTTACTGTATATTAAGGTCCAAAGTTAGACCAATTTTTGAAACCCGACCCGAACCCTTGGCGTATTTCAAACCCATGTTCTGTTCTGGGAAACCCATGGGAACCCGAATAAACCCTTAAATTATTAAACTGAAAAATTGCGTTAAGTTTTACATTAAATTAACTTTTACTGCATTTTACAATAAACATGGTCATATAATGTTTTATTGTTTACAAAAATCATAATTGGATCTAATAAACAATGATTTATCAGCATTTTGGGGGTCGAGTTGAGAGAAAATATAAATAATGTGAAAGAAACATAAAGGTTTGGGCTTTTTAAGGATTTTGATTTATATATCGGGAAACCCTTTCCCGGGGAACCATTTATAGTCAAACCCGTTCCCGTCCGAAACCTTTAAGAGTCGGGTCGGACAAGGGTTACCAACTTCCTATTCCACTGTATATACAATTATAGGGTATTTCAAAATTATAGAAAATTTCTGCAAAAATCACAGGAAATGCCATACCTTTTGGCACCAAATATTGAGTTAAACATATTTAGTCAAATTAAATGCTAAACAGACTATATCAATAATTATTTGCTTTAAAACTGTATTTTATGTATTATTAATAACAATAAATGTTTAGTCTCATATAGGCAAATTCCTTTATAGACAACAAGTTTTTCTGGCAAATACGAGTTGCTCTTAAAGGACCTTGGACAAATAGTAACCTTGGTCGGCAGTGTGTTTGGGTGTGATATGAGCTAGATTCTAAATTAAGCCATGTCACTCTTTAACACACTGCGGGTACAGGTAATCACATAACAATTATATTATTTTTAATTTTAATTTTTAAATTTGTTAATATATGGTACGCATGTTTTAGACAAATAATGTATGTGTTTCATAGATTTATTGTATGTTTGTAACATTAATTAATTCATATGTTAAGCAATAACTATTTTAATACAGATTTTAATATTTCGAAAATGTAACACTGTACAGTTCAGTAAATAAATAATACAAATAAAATGGTTTCAAACGAGTACATTTTAGTTTGAAAATTTATTGCAAGTTTCTTTCATCAATCTATAGTTTAGTATTAATTAAATTTTAAAAATCACTGTATATTTATTTATTTTAAAATATATTTTTAAATGCTAATTACTAGTCAAATAGTGATAGCAATTGCAAATTCACCCAGCTAAATTATACAATATAGTAATTTTCAAATTGATTGTATATTTACCAAATAGTGTCATGGTCACAAATTAATGTCATATAAAATAGGCAAAAATATTCTCAAAGCGAGAAATTAGGCGATAATATGGAGTAAATGCGGTGATAGTCGACGCCTACGACGGCTTTCCGGAACAGTAGCCGACAGTCTTCGTGCCGCTCGAGCGCCAACAGTCCGGCCAACTCTATGGCCGACCTATTCGTGTCCACCGTATAGTAATAAAAGCCATTCCTCTGACACCACTCGCTGTCCCTCACCAGCCCCTCCATCAGTTGTCTCGCTATTAACATACCGTTCCCGTAGACCGGGCTCAGGGTAGTGGCACCGGAGCTATGCTCTCGTACGCACCCATAGCCCACCACCTGATCGGTGACGGTATGTATGGCTACCAGTGCCACACATCCCGGTTCTCTCAATGATAACCCCAACAACTCTTGGCGCCGGTAGCCTTGAATCTGTTGGTCATAGTCTATAACCCTATCAATCAGCTCCTGATCCCCGACCCCTATAGGCAACAGTTTTATGTTATTATTATTATCTGTATTTAAAGGCAATGATTTGATGTCTTTCCCGAAGTAGATAACCATCCGGTGCTCGGATACCAGTCCGAAGCCCAGCCTATCTCTATAAAGGGGCAGTTTGTCGGCCACTGACCACAAACAGACATTCCGGTCGCCGATATGTGTCATGACTTCCGCGAATAGTTTTTGTCCGATTCCTCGGCCGGCGTACCGCTCGTCCACTCCGTACAGCCCTATGAACGCCATGTCTGGCCGTAGGAACGGACCCCCGCACACACCGATCACCGCACCTGTAGGTCAGAGTATTAGTGCTAATTAGGTAATTGTATTTTAATATTGTGAATTATTTTAATTAACTTGAAAGTTTTATTAATTTAAATGCAATTAATTTTTTAAGTAGTTTGTAAATTAATTGCTTATTAATATTTTTAGTTTAAAACAAGTATTGTAAATTAGCAAATAATTTAACTATTAGCTAGCTAAGTCTCAATTATCATTACCCAACTAATAGTATAAATGCTAAATAATTACATAATATATGCACAGAATCTATAATAAGCTAATAAATTACGAGAATATTCTGCAATTACTTTCATATTCTGTTATCAGAATTGTTATCATAAAATGCTAAACAAATACAGAATATTCATACCATTGGTATCATCGATGGCCACATAAAAGGCATTGCAATCCATTAGCCGATACGTGTCCAGCGAATGGTTGGCCTCAAACAGGCCATGACTGGCAAACACACGGAGAGCACCGGGAGTGTCGGCGCTGGTCATCACGCGGATAGTGTAATCGTGTTTACATTTCTCAGACTCCATGCCTACAACTGCCAAACAACTGTCCACTCTGTGTGCCAGTGATTGTGAAGGCAAATGGTTTTGATGGCTATCAACGCATGTATGCGTCGACTCTAATGATGAGAGAAAACTAAGGTACAAGTCATGTAAAGTGAGACTAAATTTATTTATGAATAGAAAATCTATGGATTGAGATAATAAAATGAAATTTTTATAGATTATTATCTATTATATATGAAATCAATATATATGTCCATTTTGGTGATAGGCACCATTGGAACAGATATTCTTCTTGATTCTTCGGGAGCTATTAATTAAAATGTTTGCACTTTAATTTGATACAAATAATCCAGAATTTAATCAAATAATTTCGATTTTTACATCATAATCTAAATTAACAGGTGTAATTTAATAAGTTTTGTTACATAAGT